AACTAGAGGCCACAATAACTTGATCTTCATATCTTCAAGAGGGATCAACTTCACTTCGATTAGGCCAAAATGGAACGAATGACGTTGTCGTTTTTATTAGACGCCCATTATGCCAACTTGAATGTGTCAAAAGCAGGAAAGGTGAGAATGCTCGTCCGTTGCTAAACCTGAATCTTCTTACTTGCATTTGCTGTATGCAAATAGTCCTAGTTACTGTTATTATTTCGCCGACGCTCGTCCATGTGCCTCATCGCTCCACCATCGCTGCTGCACTGGAGGTCTCTGACCATGAGAAGCGGACGCGTTTCGCATCAGATAACAAGCATGTGTACGACAGAGGAGAGGATGGGAACACCAAGTAGCATTCAATCTTACTACCCTTTGCCATGGTCCATCTCTGTCGCCTAGTCTAGCCGACGATTGTCTTTGCGTTTGTGTGTGTGTGTGTGTGTGTGTTGAGGGGATAGAAAATGTCACCCGGTTTGCATCATTCTAGGCCACCCCTCCGAGTCAAGTCTTGTTGGCCAGCTTTTTCTCTACTGTTGGTCGTCTTCAAGGCATCCGAGTGCAGAGTGTGGACATTGTCAAGGTGTCCAGTCTAAAGGAGACTGCGACGCGTCGATTTGGGCAAGCCGGCCTCATTTGTAAGCGTGTGCCTGTGACTGTTTGCAGGAAAGGGGCGAGCGGAGGCGATGCTATTGAATCGTGCACGTTGTTTACACAACACAAGTGATAACTCGAGCTGCTATCGCGAGGTGGCCCGGCTACAGGACCGCATCAACAAAAGCGTTGCTAGGCCGGACGGCAACATCCAGAAACCAGCAACCTGGACGGCAGTTCTGCAACTATCGGAAGGATGGAATGCTAATGTTGGCTGGCTGGACAGCATCAACTGTCTTGTACGTTTGGAGGAGAGAAGAGCTGACGTCAGGCGAAAGTGGACACTGTTGGCCTGGCCCTCGGACATGCCTCGACTGAAGCAAGACGTTGCGACGCCCTTTGCGATGCGGCGAACATGTTCGTGATTGGTCAGCCTGGCCGGTTTGACGCGGCTTCTCCACGAGGCCGGCGCGAATGGGAGCCCTTTTGAAGCGACTGTCGAAACCGGTTGCAAACGGCTTGGCTCGAGCCGGCCGCGTAGACGTCGCGATGCGTTTCATTTGTTAAGCAATTTGGCGTTTTCTACAACTCTGATCACCTTCATTCTCCGATAAACTTGGCTCTGCTGCCCTTTGCCGCTGTATTCCCACACACACACACACATGCACCAAAGTTGGTTTTACAAGTGCATAGGTTATGGTAGGCTTGAAACTCAACTTTGAGGTCGTGGCAACGCCAGAAGAGTGCGCGATGCTAATCAAGCCCAAGGAGGCCTCCGCGGAACCTTCGCCGTCAGAGTCGGGACTCATGCATTCAAACAAACAAACAAAAAAACAAACAAACAAACAAACAAACAAACAAACAAACAAACAAACAAACAAACAAACAAACAAACAAACAA